TTCTCTTTCATCCTCTCATCGTGTTCCAAGATTTAGTATTTTGTCTTTTATTGGTGAAATCACAAACCTCCATTCTCATCACTAATCCTCCTCTCTGGCAGGTTTGTCACTCGTGTCCTCCTCCAGGTTTTCTCTCTTTGGGGCTCGTCAATGATTTGCACATAGACGTCACTTGACATCACACACAATATTTTAAAACAGATATAATGTTATGGCTCTGTTTGTGTTTTGCTCTCTCCCTCCCTTCCTGTCTGTCTGTCCAGAGCATGTGTGAGAAAGGGGGCGTGGCTGCTCTGCTGCTGACGAGGCACACTTGTGTTCATACACGCCACTCCTGGTCTGGTCATCACTCTTCTGTTGGATCATTCCGTCATATCTGTTTTGTTTTGCCTGAGTTCCAGTTTGTTTGATACTTACCTGCTCTCCTGTCTCCAGATCCTGTACTTTGTCCAGACCTGGTTTGTTCAGCCTTCACTCTCCTCTTATACAGTAGGTATGACTGTAAATGAGAGAGTGAATGGATGGTGTTGATTGGGGGCTGATGGTCCAGTGTGTTCGGCGACTCGCTTCCGTCATCACCGTGAGTGGAATGATTGGAACAATATCTGAACATTATAAAGCACTTTGGGTGACCTTGGTCTGTAAAATGTGCTATATAAATAAACATTACTTACTTACTAACTTTTTGAATGCAGACCTTCAGAAATGTTTGGAGCAGGGCTATGTCACATTATGAGACATAAATGTCAGGATAATTATTTAATTCACAATCTTAAACTTCCATAACTTCAATTTCTCCAATGGGAAATCGATGAAGTATCTATCTAACCGGGCTCATGCAAATTCTTAAATAAAGTGGTTTGACGGGTGACTTCTGTTATAGAAATCTTTTAGTAAAGCAATGTGCATTAACATAAAATAGTTATAAGTGTAAGTTGTTAACTAATAGTCAACTCTGGATTCAAAAACAGCACATATTGCTGTTGGCAGCAGGTCAGCTGATAGAGGGAGACGTGTTTCTACATATCTTTGGCAATATCTGTGTCAAAGAACAATATGTTCAGGTCAAAGCAGATTATTACAGGTATCAGAGTTGTATCAGTGTAAGGAAGCGTAAAGAGAAGCCTTTAGCGACACATCAATACTGACGTCTTTGTTTACTCTGGTCTATTTAATGTCCGTCATTTCCTCATTCGTGGCAGACGTTTCAGACGGCTGCCCGGTGGTATTGGTATCGGTTCTGTTATTCATTGTATATGTCACATTTACTAAAAATTTAAATGTAAATGTGCACTTTATTGTCCTCTTTTGACCCATCCTGACGCCCTAAGGCTTACGTCAGGAGCAGTGGTCGCCGTAGAACAGCGCCCAGGAACCCATCTCCAGATGTTGACGCTCGGCTTGGTCAGGACTGCCGGAGCTGGAGGATTTTACCTCGTGAGCATAATTTTTTAGTGAACTAATGAATAAACTCACACTTGGATTGTATTATTATGGAAGCCCGTTTCCGCCATGTAAAAAAAAAAAAAAAAGCATACCGAAAGTCAAAATTTTGAGTTTAAAACTCAAAATTACGACTTTAAAAGTCAAAATTTCAACTTTAAAAGTCAAAATTACGAGTTGTGCAGTTGAAAACTCGTATGTGTTGTTGTCTGGAACGGTCTCTGGACGTCCTTCACCTGCAGATTATGTGAAGATATTGCCTACAGCGACCACTGCATCCTTGAAGTAGCCAGAAATAATGTTGTTTGATTGATTCTGTAAAACGTTCCTGTTTAAGCCCCAGACCGCGGTCGTAGGACGCAGGGAGGAGCTGTCTTTTTATTTATTTATGTTAAATTCAATTTACATATATACAACATTTAAATCAAACGACTTCATATTTCAACATAGTAACAAATAATGTGAGCAATATGTTTTTATAATAAATCAAAGGAAAATGAGCCATCGAGACATTCCAATCCAATCTGCTATAGACCACTCTGACCAGACGATGGCGCTGAGAGGGGTCCACACGGAGCGAGTCTTTCCACGGCTGAAAGGATGCGCTTTCTACGTGTTGTGTACGGGGTTTTATTCATGCATCTATAATGGGTTTAACTCCCTTTTCAAAGACCCTCACTGTTATCTGCGGAGTTATTTCTCTGGATTGTTGCTAAAAGAGTCGTGGGCTTTATTTTGTCACAATAAAATAATCAGACAAGGTACTTATTCCCTGTATGTCTCTGTGTTCTTGCTCATACGCCAACAACTTTACCCGCTCGCTCCATCAGCTCACCCCCGCGTGCACGCAAACACGTCACATACTCTTCAATGCACTGATCGCAATTCCAAAAGGGTAACATTGTCAGTGCCCGTGACTGTGGTTCTCCTGCCTCTGTCTGCGGACCTCCCTCACTGTCCTGTCATCGCGAACGGTCTCTCTGTCAGTCACTATTATTCACTGCATTTCTGGTGCATCCATCGATAGCCGTGATACTGACCAGATGTCACCAGTTGATGCTCAATGACTTTGAACAGCCATATGTGTTTTATCATTAATCTTCCACAGTCCATTACTAAACTACTAACTAAATAGAGGCTCCTGAAGCGGATTCTATTCATAAACGGAGAGACCGTTTGCATTTTAACGCGATTACTGCCCCAACATTATTTCTGGCTACTTCATGGATGCAGTGGTTACTGTCTGTAAGTAAGTAAGTTAGTAAGTTTTTATTTATATACCGCCTTTTCACTGCAGATCTGAGTCTCAAAGCGGTTTACAAATGTTAATTTTGGGCATTTGTCTCTCACTCCACACAGAGATGGGAGCGGGGCCAGTACAGGAGGCACATGCCAGAACTATTGGACATATTTTTAGTGGTAGGGGAAACCGGAGTACCCAGAGGAAACCTACGCAGACACGGGGAGAACATGCAAACTCCACTCAGAAAGGCCCTGGTCCGGCCGGGATTTGAACCCAGGACCTTCTTGCTGAGAGGCTAGAGTGCTATCCACTCAGCCACCGTGCCGCCCGTCTGTAGGAAATATCTTCACATAATCTGCAGGTAGAGGGTGACCCATGGTCATGGATCTATAATAGGGAGGACCAGAGACCGTTCCAGACAACAATACATACGAGTTTTCAACTGCACATGCGCAGTTGAAAACTCGTAATTTTGACTTTTAAAGTCGTAATTTTGAAAAAAAAAAAATTTGACTTTCTGTATGCTTTTTTTTTTTTTACATGGCGGAAACGGGCTTCCATAAATTATAGTTCTTGGTCTTGGTTGTTTACATTGTTTTTGCTCTCGGTCAGTCCAGAATTTCCACAACACTTCTCTCCTCGTTGGTTTAATCCAGTCGTCCAAGTACCAGTGAACATACACACACACACACCCACACTCGCGCAAGACTTATATGTTTATGTAGGTTCATATGTACAAATCTGTCTGAATGTATAAACGTGTGTATAATGTCCGTGCTGTAATAAAAAAAAAAGCAAGTTTTCATTCCAACAGCTGGAGCAGCACCAGACCCTTAGGGACCAGTCTGTAAAGGTCAGAGAGAGAGGCCGGAGAAAGGCCAGTACCTGCACATGTTTTTAGTGTTGGAAACCAGAGCACCTGGATTCCCAGAGGCAGAAGATGACAAAAACTAAAACCTAGGGCTCATCCCTCTGTATAAAGGTTTTGCCAGTGAAGGTTTAAAAAAAAAAAAAACAATAACCAAAAATGAGGTATTCTTTTGCGCAGCTCCAGTCTGTCCTCACAGAAAGGACTGTGAGAGCTCTCAGCTTTGATGGTTGTTACGTTCAGTACTTTAAACTTAAGATGAATCTTCAGCTAATGGAAAACAACGCTCTCTACATCAATAAACGTGTCAATCATTGGAAACTCGGAGCGATTCCAGGAATAGACAATCCTCGTTTGAGTTATCAAAATAAAGAGCTCTATTCTATCTGTCAGCATGTCAAACACAAATCAAATTTTGTTTTGATGGAACACAAACTGTCAAAGTGAAGACCATTAAGTGAGATGTCTCTGTCATAGAAACAGAATCACACGTCTCTGAGTTCAACGGGGTTTGCAGGTCTGAGCCATAGACTGTAAATAATAACAAACATTGTCACGCTTATATATCCTCTGTTGAAACTAACCACCACCACTTTTGCCTTTTGTGGGCTTTTTCAAAATGGCCGATGTGAAACAACTCATTTGCGCATGTCTTCGCATAAACGGTATGAACGCATTAATTTAACAAACGCGTTCAAAAGTCCACAGCGGCTAAACTACGCTGGTCCAATAAAAATACTCCCCTCAGCATTGACACACATCTGTAACGTAGCGTTGGGAGTTTTGGACCATCCTAAAGCCGTTTTCGAGAGGAAAGGAGGCGGCACACAAAAGCATTGGGTAATTCTTTTTCTGCTCCCTCTCTGGTGTCTCTCTCTGGTCTCTCCCTGCTCCTTCTCTGCTCTCTCTGGTCCATCTCTATCTCTCTCTCTCTCTGTCTTTTACTCTGGTCATATCGTAGTTCCATGAGAGTTTTAAAGCCACTTGTACCAACAGTTATGTAGGCGTAAGTTCCCTGTGAGAACCAGGCCTTTGCTGCAGATGCCCCCACTCTCTGGTTCTCACATCCACATCAGAAGAATCAGGAACTCAGATTCACTTCAGAACTTACTGCTCAAAAGTCACCTGTTCAAAACTGTTGCCACTTAATGCTTTATCTTTTTTATTTGGTCTTGAGTGGCCAAAACAGCTCTGCAATGTTGATGTATTATTATTATTATCATTAGTATGTGGTTCACATGGTTTTAGCTCCAGTAGAAACGCTTCGCTTCACTTCCACCAAACATGGAGGTCTTCACTCCTCAATGGGCGGCGGGTGAAGATTTGATTAGAGGACTTTTATTCGTCCCACAGTGGGGAACACAGACACCACCCCTTTACCCCCTCAGGTCTTCAGGTCAAGACCGGATGGATTCTTGTATGTGAAACCCTGCAGTCACACAGCTCATGGAGGATTGGTCTGACCGCTCTGGAGTTGGGGAAGGTAAATTATCTGAAGGATCTGGTTTTCTCTTGTGCTAACTGACCTATAAACATTAGAACCAGCTCCAACCGGCCACGCCTTCAACCCTCACATTATTGACTGTGAAGAAGGAACAGAGACGGACAAAGATTGAGTCTCTTGTCAAACTGCTCTCACTGTTCCACGGATTGGAAACCGCTGAGAAGCCATTAACTTCCTGCTGTGTGACCAATAATAGATACAGTAGCAGTTAGCGGAGAGTCAGCAGGCCGAGGTAATAATGCGGTTCAAACACGCTGTCCAGACCTGCAGCCACACGCCCATCACAAGAACACAACCAGCAGGGAGCAGAGGGAGCAGCAGGAGCACAGGGAGCAGCAGGAGCACAGGGAGCAGCAGGAGCAGAGGGAGCAGCAGGAGCACAGGGAGCAGCAGGAGCACAGGGAGCAGCAGGAGCACAGGGAGCAGCAGGAGCACAGGGAGCAGCAGGAGCAGAGGGAGCAGCAGGAGCACAGGGAGCAGGAACTGTGTCTCTTTGAAGTCATGTTGAAGAGGAGATAACGATTTTTTTTCTAAGTAGTTCTTGAAAATGCTTTTTACTAAATACAAGTTGTATCATAATACATAATTTAATTGAAAACTTGAGGTCATTGATTCAGCTGTGTATGAATTACAAGCAGTGAAAAGTGCTGAGTAGAGTCTTAGCGGGCCGTTTGTTCTCCTCCGCTCACAGAACGAGCAGTGAACAGCCTGCGTCCTCTAGCCTCTACAGCCTGCGTCCTCTAGCCTCTACAGCCTGCGTCCTCTAGCCTCTACAGCCTGCGTCCTCTAGCCTCTACAGCCTGCGTCCTCTAGCCTCTACAGCCTGTGTCCTCTAGCCTCTACAGCCTGCGTCCTCTAGCCTCTACAGCCTGCGTCCTCTAGTCTCTACAGCCTGCGTCCTCTAGCCTCTACAGCCTGCGTCCTCTAGCCTCTACAGCCTGTGTCCTCTAGCCTCTACAGCCTGCGTCCTCTAGCCTCTACAGCCTGTGTCCTCTAGTCTCTACAGCCTGTGTCCTCTAGCCTCTACAGCCTGCGTCCTCTAGCCTCTACAGCCTGCGTCCTCTAGCCTCTACAGCCTGCGTCCTCTAGCCTCTACAGCCTGTGTCCTCTAGCCTCTACAGCCTGCGTCCTCTAGCCTCTACAGCCTGCGTGCTCTAGTCTCTACAGCCTGCGTCCTCTAGCCTCTACAGCCTGCGTCCTCTAGCCTCTACAGCCTGTGTCCTCTAGCCTCTACAGCCTGCGTCCTCTAGCCTCTACAGCCTGTGTCCTCTAGTCTCTACAGCCTGTGTCCTCTAGCCTCTACAGCCTGCGTCCTCTAGCCTCTACAGCCTGTGTCCTCTAGCCTCTACAGCCTGCGTCCTCTAGCCTCTACAGCCTGCGTCCTCTAGCCTCTACAGCCTGCGTCCTCTAGCCTCTACAGCCTGTGTCCTCTAGCCTCTACAGCCTGTGTCCTCTAGCCTCTACAGCCTGCGTCCTCTAGCCTCTACAGCCTGTGTCCTCTAGTCTCTACAGCCTGTGTCCTCTAGTCTCTACAGCCTGTGTCCTCTAGCCTCTACAGCCTGCGTCCTCTAGCCTCTACAGCCTGCGTCCTCTAGCCTCTACAGCCTGCGTCCTCTAGCCTCTACAGCGCTGCTTAAAGAGCGACTAAACACCTGTGCCCAGCCTTACTCCGCCCACATGAAGATTTGAAAATTTTCTCTAAAAAGGGCGTTGCCTGGAGGACCAAGGGACAATAAGGGGGGCTTAGAGCTGGGCGTGGTCTGGGCTGTGATTGACAGCTCACTTGTCACACAAAAAAAAACAGACAGTTGTCATTGCTGCTTAAAGCAATAGTTTACAGACCAGAAAGTCTCATTCAACCCTTGTTTACACACTAAGATAATTGTAAAGCTACACACCTGAACCTAATCGCACTCAATAATCTCAGAATCACGCATGTAATTTAATTTTAATCCACTAGATGGCGCCAGAATACTCCAAACTGCAGCTGGGGCGTGTGTGAGAGTTGAATGGGTTCACATCACTGGCTCTGACAGACTGACGTCACACAAAACAACTGATGTCATAGAGAACTTCAGAGTCAATGGAGAGGCCAGGACCAAATTCAAATGTAGTACCACCAAAAAGGTAGAGAGGGCACCACACAGACGTTTTTTGGCTCAAAAGTGATATTTTATCTAATTTGAACTAAAATGTCAAAAAAATGACCAGGATATGTAGACAGCACTACAATAAACATACTTATGCAGTTTATGAGTTAAAAAAAGTTGATTTGGTGTTTAGTCGCTCTTTAACACCAGGGCTTCGACTTCAAAATTTGAATATAATTCTAAAATAAAATACATATAATATACTCGAACAAATATTAGACAGCCCTTATAATTCGAAATGGTATTTAATGACTGCAAATAAAATAGTTAGCTCCCAAAGGTTTCACCGGAACGTGCTAGGCAGGTAAAAGCTAAGCTAGCTAGAGGTTTCATGGTAACTTCTGGGTTTTTCGCGATCGCTTTTTGTCACATTGAAACAGTATTTTTGTCGTGAAAACGTAAACAGCAAATTCTGAAATCGTCCGTGCATGTGTGTTAAGGATGTATATGTGAACTGTATTTATTTATTTATTTATTTGACAGGGACAGTACAAAAAAAACATTGTCACCCACAGGTAACCGATGTGAAGTACACAAGGCTTCTAGCCAAAGGCTAATTTGCGGCCCCCGTCCCTGGTTAGGCTTTTGGAGAAAGCGAAGAAACAAGTTTTTTAAAAAAAGGGGAGAAAACAACAACCACACATCAATAAAAATAACTGACCCCATTTGTCCATACTACATTCAGGTTTAGTGCTCACACTTCTGATTTTCCTTAAGCCACTTTTTCAGTTTAGTGGAGAAAAGTCTAGTGTCCGACTGTGACTTCAGCTCCAGCGGCAAAGAGTTCCACAGATGTGAGGCCTTCACTGAGAATGCAGACTGACCCAGAGTCGTCCGGCACCTTGTCACTCTGCAGCTCCCACTGACTGCAGCTCGAGTCTGCACACCCTCACTGCTGCACCTTTGGATGTTTTTACACATTACTTCAGGGGCTAATCCATTAAGACACTTAAACAAAGCTTTTAAAAAGGTAAAATGTATAATATTATCAAAACTCATCATGTTGTAATTTTTCAGTAATTTGGCAGTGATGATGCTTCATTGGCTTTCGATCATATATTTTGAGTGTTTGTTTATATAATGATAGCAAAGGCTTCACTACAGACTTTGTGGCCTGACCCCAGACAATGGCACAATAAGACATGTGGGATAATAATATCATAGCATGCATAAAACTCCTGCAGCTTAGATAAGCAGGGTCTAAATCAACCTGAAACTATTTATATTTTCTTTTTATGGTCTTAGTCATTTTTTGAACATGCCGATCAAAACTTAACTTAGGGTCCAAAATAACAACCAGGTATTTAAACTCCTTAACTTGTTTTATTTTATGTTGATTAACGCTGACCTCAATTTCATTGAGTGATTGTTTCTTCAGAGAAAAACACATTGAAGACAGTTTATCATAGTTCATAGTTAAACAGTATTTTCAACCCATTGTTGATACATTCACTTAACTGGTCTGTTTTAAAGGTTCTGAGGCCTGTTATGAGGCAAGGTGTCTCTGCCGCCCACATAGTCTATGTGTCATCCGTATAATTTGACAAAAGTTGTCCTCTATTCAAATGTTGGGCCAAGTCATTAATAAATAAGCTCGAAAAGCAGCGGCCATAAAAATGGATCCGTTGTGGCAAAACACCACCCAGATCACAAGCTTTGTATAACAGATTTTGTAATGTACCATTTATGTTAACACATGTGGTTGTCATCAATTCAAGATCTATGATGTATTGTCCGATATGACTTTAAAAAAAAATGGTGTGAATTGATAGATCTATGTAGGGTTGTTTATTGGAGCGTTGCTGACTCCGCTAGCTTCCTCTACTACACAGACAAGTGTGTAGTGACACAGGTGCTGATAGCTTGTTCTTGCAGAGTAATGGCAAAGTATTTTACACACCTGAACCTGAATACAAACAGAGATTGCATTGGGGCTGCGATCCTTTATATTGGTTTGAGAGTTCTGTTATCAAGAAAAATGATCGGAAGAATTGCATTCAAGTCAATGGAGTGTTCTAAAAACGGCTGCTGTGAGGAGCTCTATAACACATTATAATTAAATATTAGAATATATTCTAAAGGTTTTAAATTAATACATTCGGAACGCGAAACCTAGCGGTATTTCTTTTACTTATATATTGTGTTAGCAGTGCGTTGCTTTAGTGCCATTTTCATCAGTGATTGTGTGCAAACAGCTTACAAGACGTTGCGCTAATGCTAATGTTAGCTGGCTCCGTGGGATGAGAGCGTAGGGGAAATGAGAATTCATTAAGACGAGTTGGGGGGCGGTGCTAAAACATTCAAACATTGCAGAAACGGGTATAGCGCCTTTAATATGTGACGTTAGAATGTTATTAAATTATTACTTTTAGAAAATCATATCAGATTAAATTATATACTGTAAGCTCTAAAATTCACTTTTGGCGCCAGGAAGTCAGGGGGAGCCCGAGCAGGCTTTAAGGATGCAAATGGAGAAGGCCTTGTCACATTGTCCTTTTGTTGTCTATTGGTTCCCTCTTCCTGTGGATGGTGTGTCTGTTCTACTTCTATACTGCTTCGTGGCTTGGGGCGGCACGGTGGCTGAGTGGATGGCACTCTCGCCCCTCAGCAAGAAGGTCCTGGGGTTCGAATCCTGGTCGGAACAGGATCTTTTTGAGTGGAGTTTGCATGTTCTCCCCATGCCTGCGTAGGTTTCCCTCCGGGTACTAACTCCATTCCGGTTTCCCCTACCACTGAAATCATGCTCACTAGGTTAAATCCTGCAGCTCTGGTAGTCCTGACCAAGCCGAGCATCAATATCTGGAGTTGGGTTCCCGGACGCTGTTACTACGGCGACCACTGCTCCTGACGTAAGCCTTCGTGGCATCAGGATGGGTCAAATGCAGAGGATTGAATTGCCCTAACGGGATCAATAAAGTGCACCTTTAAGTTTGACTAAAATCCAGTCAAACTCAATATTGAATGGCCTCAGATTTCACTGGCATCTGGACATTTGTGGTCATTCGCTATTACAGAGAACAGGGAGGGACCACCTGTGAAAAGAACAGACGGGAATTTAAAATAAAAGTTTATGTTCAGGTGTTAATTAACCAAACAAACTTCAACACAAGAGTGGTTACTGACTACAGAAGTGACTCTGGAATGTTTTAATGTTTGTAAAAAAAGAATGTTAAAGAATGTAATGTTCTGCCACCTTGCTCATGAACATAAAAACAAACCTCTGAAAGTTCAGAAGAATTATACAGGAAAGTGTGAAATGTGTGAGAATTGCTGATTTTTCCTGCAGAAGTCTAGACCCGAGGGCTGCCATGGCCTCCTCATCAGCTGACCTCACAGAGGCTTGTCACTTCCAGGTCAAACACACAGGTC